CAGACTTACTCTGCATATTGGGCTCCAGCTTCATTCAGCACCCTGTAGTATTGTAATGTATTTTGTTATTATAAGCAGTTATTGTCTCACTATCTGTATTCATGATCTTGATATCACTTCCTTGTCCACCCAATTGCATCATAATGTCACTGCACACTATACTTTCTTATGTCTTTTCTGTGCCTCCAGTGAACGCACTATTCACCCCACTTGCTGTTTCTCATCTGTTCTCACACTGCCTCTTCACACCTTCTACACTCAACTATGACACAGACTAAGAACTAAGACTGTCCTCTTCAGGAATTCCATGACTACTGTTTATAGGTGCAGTCATTTGGGAAGTTTGTCATGGATTCTCAGTGACCATGGCCTTTGGCTCTGGAACAATCTTGGAGGGGTTCTCAAGTGTTTTTATGGGATGAGAAATTTGTGCAGGTCATGCAGTACAGACCCTTCCACACTCTGGTTCTGTGACAATAACTTTATTTCTTGTATGGCCTTGTATCCTGCTGTATTCCTTATGAATTCCATCTCTTGTGGTAGCTTTCATCTTCTTTTATTCCCTGTTTGAGTCGTTCAGATTTTGTAGCTGTTCAGAACTGATGCAGTAGGTAAAATATTTATCATTTTAATCAAGGTTGCCTGTTAATTAAGTATGATTTCATAACATTGTCAAAAATTTCCAAAATATATTTATTTTTACTCTTCATTTTTGTATGAAATTTTGCATCCATAATAAGTGAATCTGCCTGGATATAAAGCAGATTCATATGCACAATAATATATGGCTTTTTCACTTTCAGTGAAAATATATGTGACAAATTTAAAAGGTGTACAAAATTTAAAATATTTTGCATGTCTAATTATGTATTGTAGGTAATTATTTGAAGTTTTTAAACTAAAGGGACAACAGAAAATGCATGTGGAACTTGATAATCAAGCCTGATGTTAGAGTAGCAACCATTTTGGATATCAGATGCAAGTATGTCTGGTTGGAGAGGTTAAAACTACTACATTTACACATTTTATTCTTTTATTTACTCCTTCCTGCAATTTGTAACTCTCACAATGGGATGGACATGATGCAGATTTTTGTTGTAATGGGTTGTGGATGCTACATAATAGAATCTATCCTCCCCCTGGGACTTCTGTTTTCTGCTGTATGCTTACTGATTCATGAATTTCTTTTGTATCTTAAACATTCCCATTGTTCCTTTACTTCCTCCATTCTCATGTATTGCTTTCTTATCCCTTTCATTGTCGTATCTCCTTTCTTCCTTACCTTTATTCTTGTTATCTCACTCCTCATCCTTCTCCTCCTTTTGGTGTTTCTGTTATGTCACCCTCTGATGTTACAGACAGAGTCCGTGAAACATCATTTTGCACGTTGATACAGTCATTCGTCCAAGAAGATTTCACCGAGAACTAGTGTCAATAAAAATAAGCAATTAGAAATTTTGCTATACACATTTTTACTCTTGTTTCCATATTATCTATGAGAAAGCCATAAAACATTTCTTAAGATGGCATTAAGTAATGAAGTTAACATTTTATTTCATGCAAGTGGTGGCTGGAAGAATCTTGAATGTCTTGTATTTTCTCTGTGTAGTGTTATTGTAAATACTGTTTGTATGCACCTCACAGCATAAATTTTCCATAAAATGAACTGGAATGCATAACAAAATACATGTAGTTCAATTCTAGCCTGGGTTGGAATGGGACATATAGCAGAGCCTCTATCTGAATTATATGGTGATACGAGTCTCGAAAATATGAAATATTTAGAACTGTAATATTTATGCAGATTCTGAATATTTTTGAACTTATATTGTTGCATGTTTATGTTTGTAATATAATTTGATCTTCCATATTTTGATATCTCTCACAGTATGTTCTCTTTGGCCACTGAGACTGCATTTTTTAATTTATTGATTTGATCTTTAGGTCTGGGCCTAGTTAACAGTCCATATAATTTGTACACATTATTTAAATATGATTAATTGGTGTTTAGTACCTAGTTCTTTTTGTACTGCTTCCAGTGCAGAGTTTCAGTACAGTCTTAGTACAGACAATTCGGCTGTGCTTTAAAGATGGAGTCTTCCACTATAGGTGAAGAAAAGATTTAGGCATTCACTGCCGCTGATGATCTCTGAATTGAAGGTCCACCATTACGTTTTCAGTTGATCTTGTTGGAAGTTATATTATTACCGATTACCTTCTAATGCTGCAGATCATTTCATAGCTATATACATAAACTGTTCAAGAAACTGATGAGAGACAAAATATGCTCATAATTCTATAGGTAGACAAGACTGTTGAGGCAGCTGAAGTTCATATAGTGATTATATCCACAGTAGTTCAGAATATTTTGTATGGGAAAGTGACACATTTCATTGAATATTTAATGTAACTTCATACTATTAGCCAGTTATTCATTTATTAATCTGGAATGTTGGATTGTATTTGTAATTTCAGATTGAAATGTTTATTATCTGATATTTTAAAATTGATTGTATGTGAAACAGTATATTTGAAGGTGTTTCTAATTTGCATCTTTCTCAACGTTCCAGAAGAGAAAAATGAATACTATCATTCACATACCTTTACATGTTGCAAGTATACACTACTCATGCGACAAAGGGACTGCAATTGAAACTTCAGTAAATTATTTTAATGTATCTCTTTCTTATTGTGAATCTGGTGGTGTTCTTCTATGTTGGCTGACATCTATCAAAAATACTTGAATGTTCCTTGTTGATAAACATTTCTTTTGTCTAGTAAGTATAATATGAAAATTACACTGTATCACTGCCACTTACATGACACACATATGAAACAAGTTCCTTCCTTTCCCTTCCTGTTTTTCACACTTTTTACTGTGGTTTACAGTTTATATGCTACAAATTACTGCCCAATAATTCAATAATAATTAAGTTAAAATTAAAGTGAACACAGTTTATATTTGTAGTAATTAGTATATTTGCTCATTTCCAGTAGCAAAATTATGGGTTCGGTCCAAGCTGTCAAGGCTAAGGAGAAGAGCTATTCAGAAAATATTGTTCTTGGCTGTCATTTGTGACCATTGCTACCCCAAGTATTAATATGAGCTTGAGTTAAATTTCTGGATATATTTTGAAATGTCATCGTTTCATGGAGTATTGTATTGATGTTTATTGCAAATCATTTACAAAGAATTGTAAACTGCCTTATGAATGATTATCATGTGTTTTATCATGGATTATAGTGCTAAAAATATATCATGTATTTAAATATGACTAATGATTATTCTTATTGATTTAATCCAACTAACATTATCCTGAAATTGTCATTTTATACTTGTAATTTTTCAGGTTTCATGTTGTAGTTGACAGCGTTTTCCTTAACTGCATAGTCTTTTTTGTGATATTCTCGAGAGAATAATTCATTACAATATATGATGTCTGACAATAAACTTCACGAACTCTCCACCGTGTGCTTGCCGTGGCAGCAATTGACAAGAGACCTCAGTATGGTTTGATGACGTTGCCATATCAGCATTTCATAGCTACACACTGTGTCCAGGATCCGTTAGGACTTTTTTTTTTTTGCCCTGCAGTGACTGCTGGCGAAGTTTCACCTGTCGCTGTCAATAATTTCAAAGTGCAAGCATCACTGCATCATGTGTGCTGACCTTGAATGTAACAGGATGGCTCTGACGCTCGTCAGAAAATGGTTAAACAAGCCAACATCAAATTTTGTTTGAAGTTAGGCAAAACAGCCGGAGAAGCATACGAAATGATGAAAAATGTGTATGGTAGTGATTGTTTGAGTTGCTTGAACATTTTTCAACGGTATGCTGTATTTTGTGACGGCAGGGAGGACAATGAAGACCCTCCACGTGCATCAAAGCCGAGAACAAGTCGCACTGAAGAAAACGTGAAAAAAGTGACTGAAATCCTTGCATCGCATCAGACGAATGTGTTTCTGCAAGACTCATCTAGGAGCATTTGGGAATACAAAAAAGTACTGTGCATCAAATGTTGACCTTGGATTTGGGCAAATGGAAGGTCTGTGCGCCCAAAGTGATTAAAAATTTACAAAATCGATTGTTAAGGGTGACGAGACATGGTGTTTTTAATATGAGCCTCTCACAAAGCGGCAGCGTGCAGCGTGGTTGAGCCCTAAGAAGCCGATACCAAAGAAAGAGCACGCAAAAGAGTCGAGTAAAGACACTGCTAACCGTTTTCTTCGATTCCAAAGGAATCATTCACAAATAATTTCTGCCAGAAGGTCAAACAGTTAATTCTGGTTATTATATCTGAGTCCTCAATCGTCTGTGGCCGAGAATTCTTCGAATTCGACCTGAATATCGAGAGCAAATTTTCTGGTCGCTCCTCCACGACAATGTCCCACCCCACAAATCGAAGATCGTGCGCGATTTTTATTGGGGGGGCCAGAAAAGGGATCACAGTTTCGGATCATCCTCGGTATTCGCCAGGTTTGGCTCCAGCAGATTTCTGGTTGTTCCCAAAAGTTAAGTTGGCGATGAAAGGAGACCGTCACGACGCCATCCAGGACATCCAAAGGGAATGTACCGCAGTTTTAAATGCGATTCCACAAAAGGAGTACAGTGACTGTTTTCGAAAACTTTTCAATCAGTTCCAGCTATGTATTGTTTCAGAAGGAGACTATTTTGAATAAAAAGAGTGAAATTTTGAAAATAATTCACGTCTGGTATTTTTAATGAACACAGTCCTAACAGAACCTGGACACTGTATGTTGTTTTTGATATCACTTCACTCATGCCACACCAGATGGTTTTGAGTGAAGTGATATTGAACTCAGTTCTAAAACAAAAAACCCACAATTGAGTAAGAACTTCTGCAGTACAAGAGGCCAGGGTTGCAAATTATTTGTAGGTATTCCTGTGAAGTAGTGATTCTCTGACAGAGAAAAGCACACCCTCTTACCGACCGAGCTCTCCGCACTGACGGAAGCCATTTTATGTCAATAGATTTGCCTCGGAACATTGAGGAAATAGTGATGATAGTGATATAGTGATCGACAGTGATACTTACATGACGTTAATGGTTACTGATCATTGATTTGATGGTAGCTGTGGTAGCAGTGCGTGTGACCCGTGTGACCGCGTGTGACGGTAGTTTGACGTTTTTTTTTTCCAGTGTGAATTGTAGGGAAGTAGTGGCAGTAAAAAATGTAATTTGGATCGGCGTTTTAAGAGCATGTTTACAACTTCAAATCCAGTCTTTTCGAAGGCGTAAATGAAATGGCCTTTTTTAAATGGCATTTTCTCTTGTTAGAAGTATTAACTATTTTTGCTATTGTTACCTTGGAATCCTTCACTTTAGGTTCTAGCGACTGTTTTAACGGTGGACCATCACCTACTTACTGCTCGAATGATAGTGTATCGTGCAGTTGTCAGGTAAATATAATAATTTAAAGGCTATTAAGTTAATTTCAAGTGTGAATCAGGAATGAAATGACCTTATGACAAACAAGCTGCCCGCCTCGTATTATGCCGAAAAGTGTACTACAAAGTTGTACAGCACAGTACGGTGCAATATATTGTATATCTCGCTGGGATGGGTGTTCTTCGTACTAGAACCAGTGAGGAACCACACCACTCAACCTTCAAGATTATAGTAAGAGATGAAAGTAAAGATTGCCCCTTGTGATTGAATTAATTAAGCCCCATGTCATGAAGACGTGTGGGTGAGTATTTGTATACGTTATGTATTATTTGCAATGTTCCAAGCACAGCAGGTTTTCTTGTCTAATGAAACAATTAGGCGCTTTCCTGGTAGTAATTAAAAATATAATTTTAGTCCTTTAGTTCCAGTGACTACCAGTATGTCAAAGAATTTCATATTCCATGTTCTCTGAATTTCTGTGCTTTAGATTTTTTATATTAAATTATTTTCAGCCTCCTTTTGTATTACATTGCTGCAACTCTCAATATGCAAATCTCATCTTGGTCTTTCATAATTATTATGTCTTGTCTTTTTGCCAGAACCTCCTTATCTGTACCCCTCGATTCCACGCTACTGTTATATCCTCATGTAGGCTTAGGTGTGTGTGAGTATCATTTTTAGTTTTTTTAGTGCTTAATCTCTTGCATATTAAGTAACGTGGATGTGTACAGCCTTTAACATGTCTTACTAGGTAATTATTGCTGAGCTGGGATAGCTCACTTTGTATATAATGGCCTATGAGCTGGGTGGGTGGGTTTGACTCCCAGCAGGGGCGTGATTTTTCTTTTCTCTACAGCTTCCACACCAGCTTTGGGGCCTACCCAGATTCCTATCCAGTGCATACCAGGGGCAAAGTGGGAAGGGTATAAAGCTGACTACCCACCTCCACCTACTACTGAGGTCCCCTGGCATAGTCATTATGTGATGCTTGTTTAAGCACAGGGACAACTTTACCTTTCATTTTGTACTCAATTTTTGTTTTGCCAGAACAGGGCATCCTAATGTGAAGTAGCCAGTAGGAAGGGTATAAAGCTGACTACCCACCTCCACCTACTACTGAGGTCCCCTGGCATAGTCATTATGTGATGCTTGTTTAAGCACAGGGACAACTTTACCTTTCATTTTGTACTCAATTTTTGTTTTGCCAGAACAGGGCATCCTAATGTGAAGTAGCCAGTAGCTTCTTCATATTCCTTATATAAATGGCATTTACTCTCAGTTTTTTCTTTGAGAATCTTTCTCTTAAAATAGTTTGTACTGATGACCTGATCCTGAGTTGCCATCGTCATACTTTTCCTGTTTCTCCCTTTATGTCTCCAAACTTCTGCAATCAGTAGGGCTGTACCTTATCCATTGGTTTTTTGTCCAACTGTGCTTAAATTGTTCAACATCGTCTTTTATTCTTCCTCTTCCTCGTCTGTCAGAAACGAAAAGTTGGTCTTTTTTGCCTCTTTTTAGAGCTGTGTCACAACAAAGGTACAAAACTATGATTACATGCCAGATTGTTACAAGTGAGCCATGGGCATACTTTTAAATTTTCTGACAAATTTGAATTTGGTGGTAAGGTAATTTAGTTTAGTTAAAACTAGCAAAACACAACACAGAACACGATACACATATGCATGTAGGAAGAATGCTCACATAAAAGAGGATTGGCATAATTCGCGTGTTTGAGTGTGACGTAGGATGAATCCTGAAAAGTTTTATTATTTAGAATTCATCAACATATATGACGAATACAGTTTTTAGTCATTTTAGAATGAAGACATCATGGCATGCAGTACAATAGTTTAACGTGCATAAAGACACCTGAGGATGGCACATTAGTGCTGAAACATGTAGTGTGGAAGTGAAGAATAAGGTGAAAAAGTGTATACACTGTAAGACGGTTAGCATAAACCATGGAAATTTTGTTATGTTTGCAAACACCTCTCTTCAACTTTGCTTTAGAATATGCCATTAGGAAGGTCCAGGAAAACCAGGTGGGACTGAAATTAAATGGAACACATCAGCTGTTGGTGATGATGTGAATCTGCTGGCTGATAATATAGATACCATAAAGAAAAACACAGAAACTTTATATGACACTAGTAAGAAGGTTGGACTAGAAGTAAACACAGAGAAAACTAAGTATGTGTTGCTATCTTAACACCAAAATCCAGGGCAAAATCATGACATGAAGATAGGTGACAGATGTTTTGAAAATGTGGAACAGTTCATATGTTTGGAAACGACTATAACAAATTAAAACCTGATTCAGGAGGAAATTGAACCTGGGAAATGGCTGCTACCATTGAGTCCAGAAACTTTTGTCTTCCTGTCTGCTTTCTAAAAAACATAAAAATTAGAATATACAAAACTATAATTTTGCCCGTGGTTCTGTATGGGTGTGAAACTTGGTCTCCTATATTAAGAGAGGAACATAGACTAAGGATGTTTGGGGACAGGGTGTTGAGGAGAATATTTGGGCCGAAGAGAGATTAAGTGACAGGAAGCTGTAGAACACTACATAATGAGGAGCTTCATAACTTGTACTCTTCTTCAAGTATGCTTAGAATGATCAAGTGAAAGAGGATGAGATGGTCAGGGCAAGTAGCATGAATGGGGGAGAAGAGGAATGCATTTAGGATATTGGTGTGAAAGCCAGAAGGAAAGAGACCACTGGGAAGACCAAGACATAGGTGGGTTGACAATATTGATATCAATCTTAGAGAGATAGGATGGGATGGTGTGGATTGGATTGATCCAGCTCAGGATAGGTACCAATGGAGTGCTCTTGTGAACAAGGTAGTAAACCTTCAGCTTCCATAAAATGCTGGGAAGTTCTTGAGTAGCTGCACAATTGGTAGCATCTGAAGAAGGGCTCAGCTTCATGACTGAGTTGTAAACACTAACAAATTGATCAAGCATAAATGCTGATGACAGTGTAATTAATTCCAAGACTTCTCATATAACAGGCCAGAAGTTTTATTACACTTATGAATAGACAAATTCGCTTAAGTATAAAAGGTTGTTTTCATTTCCAGTAATGTATTTGTGATCAAAATTTGTGCATTGGGTGACAGAGGTGAAGCAACAACAATAATTATAGTAACAACCCACTGTTTGAAAGTTCTGAAACCATGTATTGGTAATAATGGTGTACATTATTANGTTCATGCAAATAATAGTAACAATTATACCATATTTAAAAATTGTTTGGGGAGAACTTTTCTGGCTCCGAATACATCAACATCCCTGCAAACAACATTAGCAGCTGCTACACATCTAGCAGAGGGACAATTTTTACATGAGGAGCAAACATTGAACAATGCAAAGTCTGTGATATACCAAGCAGGAACTTGGAGAACAACAAATTCCAAAACAGAAGGACAGAATTTCAAACCAAAGTAAACTTGAGTAAGAAAGAGAGCAAGGCCGCGCCATAGCCCAAGTGGTTAGTCTCTGGCTTCCCACCGTGGCGGCCCGGGTTCGATCCCAGCTCTGGTCAAGTGGGATTTGTGGTGGACAAAGTGGCACTGGGGCAGGTTTTCTCCGAGTACTTCAGTTTCCCTTGCCAGTCTTCATCTCACCAATTGCTCCACAATCACCCTCACTTATCACGTGTAGCTGGTACAATAGGCCAGAAGTGGCTGCAGTACATGGGACTTAGTCATACCTCACTAGCAATAAAAAGAAAGTAGTGCTATCCCATTTTATGGTATGATGTTTTGAATTACCCAGAAGTCCATAGGTGTTCTTGTGAAATTAAATAGTCTTGCTTTTGTTTGGATATACTTTGTACATTTCTGTAACAATTTGGAATTTGGTGATGAATAATGTAGCTTAATTAAATTAAATTAAATTTACTTATGTTTGTGTTGGGTGTGAGAGGCATAAAAATGAACCATAGAATATGTAAGAAGATTGGTGGGAGATGTCATGTGGCTATGTGCTGAAGAGAATTGAGTTCATGTTTGCTATGTCATAAGTTGATATGTACGAGTATAATTCATACTTCTGGAAGACCATATAATCCCATTGTGTCGTAGTTTTGATAAAGTTTCACGTCATTGTGGGAGTTGTTTACAACTAACACAAGGGGTGGTGTAGACCCCCTGGAAATATATACATATAAAATTTCATGAAAATTTATGTCTCTTAGTTTAGTTATCAATAGAGGACACATTCATATGGTCATGAGACCATAAACTTAGGATTCCTTGTAAAGCAGCATAAAATTCTTTGGGCTGCTGTTGGAACCAGGCGGTGACTTCCCATTAGTACAGCTTCATCAAAGGGAAAATATTCTGCCAAAAGATGATGTTTAAGAGGGCCGAACAAATGGAAGTCGCTTGAAGCAAGACTCATCACCTGTGACAATTCGGGCTAGCATATTGTGTCCTTCATCGTGGTAGCGATTGAGATGCTGTAATGACAGACGCATTCTTTGCATATTGTGTTGTGGGGTCAGCATGTGCGGCACCCATCGTGCACAGACTTTGTGAAAGCCTAACCTGTCATGCATTATGAGGTAGGCCATGCCATGTGAACAACAAATAGCAGTAGCTATAGTGTCTATAGTTACCCTTCTGTAGGTAAGTCACCGCCTGTTTCCGACAGCAGCCCAAAGAATTTTATGCTGCTGGTTTTCAGGGGCTTGTGAAACGATGGGACAAGTGCCTCAATGTACAGGGAGATTATGTTGAGATTTAAGCGCATTTTTCAAGCCAATACTGTTATTTAAGTTCTATATCCATTTGTAACTTACTTATTGACACCTATGTATTTTGATTAGAGAATGGTGAGGAAAGAACGTGGAAAGGCCTGAAGCAGATGGAGAGCTAAAGGGATATTCATAACTCTGCTTCAAGATGTATGATGAAATCCCATTCTATTTGGAGCCCTTCATATGATTTAAAGCTTGTACATATTCTTCTATAACATGTTATAAAGTTGGAAGTATTGAAATGCTGTGTTTAAATGTACGTGGTGCAATCCAGAAGTTCCCGAAATATATTAATAAAAACTATTACATCTTACCTGGATCTTATTCTGCACCATATCCATCAAAGTAGTCCCCTTGGGAGTGCATACACCGATCCCAGCATTTCTGCCACTTTTGAAATGCATCCTGGAAGTCTTTCTTTGTTTGGGTGTTTAGTACCATCTGCGTTTGCACTTGAATTTCCTCAACTATCAAATCTTCGCCCCTTCAACTTGAGTTTCATCTTGGGGAAGAGAAATAAGTCGCATGGAGCTAAGTCTGGCGAGTACGGTGGGTGGGGAACAACTACCATCTTGTTTTTAGCCAAAAATTCCTGCACAGTGTAAGCCGTATGTGGTCGTGTGTTGTCATGGTGGAGTACCCAGTTGTTTGTGCACCACTTCTCTGGACGTTTTTTCCTCATGTCCTCCCTCAAACACCTTAGAACAACACGATATAACTCTTTATTGACTCTCTGACCAGGAGGGACGAACTCCTTATGGAACAATCCCATCAGTATCAGAAAGACAGATCAACATGGACTAAATGTCGCTCTTGATTTGTCGAACTTTTTTTGGCCGAGGTGAAGAAGGGATCTTCCATTGCGACAATTGCTCCTTACTTTCAGGGTCGTAGCCATAAACCCAACTTTCGTCACCAGTGACAACCTTCGAAAGAAATTTTTGATCCTCCTGAAGCTGTTGTTGAAGTTCTCTGCAGACTTCCAAGCGATGCTGCTTCTGTTCATTTTGCAGCAGTCGTGGCACAAACTTCGCCGCAATCCTCCTCATGTTCAGTGCCTCTGACAAAATTCGTTGACATGTACCATAACTTAGTCCCAAGGTGTTACAGAGGTCTTAGGTGGTCAGTCTACGATCTTGCAGAATCAAATCCCTAACTTTCCTGACATTTTGTGGTGTGGTGCCAGTTTACGGCTGTCCCAACCGATCGTCATCATCAGTCAATGTTTGGCCATTTTTTAAATGCTTATACCAGTCATAAGTTTGTGTCTGGCCTAAACTGTTGTCACCAAAAGCTTGCTTCAACATTTGGTGCGTTTCTGCAACGGTTTTCCCAAGTTTAAAGCAAAACTTTATACAGACACGCTGCTCTCTCAGGTCAGCCATCGCGGAACCGCAAACTCAGGGAAACACAACAATGGAAATACATTCACCAACAATAAACCCAACCACTAAACTCGACGCTGCTTTCCATGCTGATTCAAGAAGGGTGTGTGGGGGAGACATAGCGGTATTTCGATGTACTCATAACCATTCACGTGCAAAATTCAAATTTTGGAAACTTTTGGATTGCACCACGTTTTATATGTTGACAGAGATACACCATGTTAGGTGACAATTTTGGCAGTGATGTGACTCTAACAATGTTTCTTCTCTTTACAGCTTCCATATTCAAATTCCTGCATGGTGGTGTCATTCTTACCATCCGGTAAGATAGCATTTCATTGCTAATCAGCTGAGAATTGTAATGACTAGCAAATTTGATTTCTTCAGATTGAATGGAAGCATGATGTGTTTAGAGCGTTTTTTATTAATATTCTTCATGTGATGTAGTTCATATATATCAGAAAATTATTTTCGTTTTGGTTGGACAGTTGCGTGGTGCACGCAGTAGCGTAGTTTGGTTGAGGGGCTATGCTACAAGCTGGAAGGTCCCGGTTTCAAGCCCCAATGAGGGGCTTGAATGAGAGCACACGTAGTACAGACAAGCAGCGGCACTCACACAAGAAGACTACATTAAATAACACCTGTACAGTGTGAAAACAAGAACTAGCCGCTCCAGCACTTAGACATAGGGCGAGTAACCCTAAGAATTTTAAATTTTAAATTTAAAATTTAGAGAAAAATTTTAAAAGGTTTTAAAAACATCATAACTAAAGATTTTTAGAGTGCTACTACAAGAATATCGGGTTTGACGTGTGCAACATAATCTACATACCAGACACATATCAACGATGTAGATGTTGATAATACGAAGAATGTGACATTGTGTTTTTAAATGTTAAGTTTTAGACTGGGTTCAGTGTGGCAGCAACGTTAAGAGTATACACCTGATGATGGCCGATAGAGGCCGAAACATGTAGTGTAGAAAGAACAAGATCAAAGACATATAAATATATATTGTTTGCACTTAGGATGGAGTTTGTATCATTTACCCAATGAGGTCATTGGATTTTTATAATTGACCTAATCCTTCCAGCCACACTATGGCCATGGGGTCGACTCAGCCTCTAACAGAAATGAGTACTAGGAATTAATTAAATAATTTTCCTGGGGAGTAAAGCGCGCCCGATGCATAAGGCTGCAACCTTACTGCCATCTTTGAACCAATTGTCTAGATAATGTGGGACCCTCAACGTCTCACAACCCTATGGGTCTTCACAGCCTCTTACAGGGATAGCTTTACTTTTTACTTACTTACTTTGGACAGTTGTGTTATCAGTCTTTTGTTTTATGTTGTTTATTGTATGTACTCCCTGTGCCAGGAAGAATCATCCCCCCTTCCGTTTCAGCTGAAGTAACATGCGAATGCTTCGCAGCTGCAACTGATGTAGTTCATACATAGTGTTGATAGTGAAAAGACATTTACAGGTATGCTAATGCCCAGACAGTAAATATTATCTGTACTAAGCAAGAGTTCCCACTGCAGGATTTAACTTAAATATTCATGTGTAGAGTTTTTTGTGTAAGGATCATATCCTTTCTTACTTAACATATGTTTCTATGAGAGAAGGAATTAAAAGATATGTTATGTCTCTTTTTCTTTTTTTCTTTTCCCCAGATTGTGCAAAATGGACGTTTAATGTTGGTGGTTTCTCACCTAGCCTTGGGTCATTGGTGCTAAAGAACTGGCCATCTGTAGTGTCAAGTTACCAGTACTCTGTCTTCAATGTAACATTCACAGATATCAAGTGGACATGTAAGAACGCTAAACTGATACCATCTAAATTTGATCATATACTTCCTTCATGGGTCTCATTCTTCTGTATTTGAGAGGCTTGTTATAACTTGTGCTCTTTGCAAATTATAATTAGAATGATCAAGTCAAGTAGGATGAGATTGGCAGGGCATGTGGCATGAATGAGGGAGAAAATTGTGTATAGGTTATTGGTTTGAAAGCCAGAAGGAAAGAGACCACTAGGAAGACCAAGACATTTGTGGGTGGGTAATATTAAAATGGATGTTATAGATATGGGATGGGGTGGTATGGACTGGATTAATCTGGCTCAGGGTATGGCTTAATGGAGGGCTCTTGTGAACACAGAAGTATGCCTTCATCTTCCATAAAATGCTGGGAAGTTCTTGAGTAGTTGCACAACTGGCGGATTCTCTAGAAGGGCTCAGCTCCATGAAGTTAGTATATAGTTTTGTTTATACATGTTAAATGTGAGGTCTTGTGAACACCTGCACTGTTGATTCTGTAACAGGAATTGCCACTAACCTGTACCGAATGTAATCACCTTCCGAGAGCTTATGTTCTGGTCTTTGCGATACTTGGAGTTGTTGTTCAAAATCATTTTTTGAACATACTTTGAAGTACCGTCATTACATTTCTTTGGATGATTGATTGATTGAGGTGAGCTCTTTCTAAGGGACCCAACAGAGTAGGTGTCTTCCCCTTGCCTGAGGACAGAAACAGGTCCATTTTCTAAAATGTTGTGTTTTCTAGTTTCAAGAATGGTGGATGATGGACGAAGGCCAAAACCCAAGTAATTCTGAGTGTTATACACCACTGGCAGAACCCTTTAGAATTTATGTGGAAAAGTATTTATTATACATACATATATGGCTCTGTATTGCAGGCAGTTTGAGCAAATTGATTTTGTTCTTTGGACTTCCTGTATGAATAGTGTTTTATCACTGATTGCTGTATGTGCCCAGGTTTGCATATTTTAATATTGTATTCTCTTACAGCTCTACGTTTTAGGTTTGAGCAGCATGGATATTACAGTAAACACTTCTGCAGAGAATTTCATGTGTCTTCAGAATATAATATTCCAGAACTGTTCTATGATTGTCGATGGACAAAATCAGAATATGAGGGGACACCTTTCACTTTTGAATATGAAGCTCAAAATGCACAACATACTGAAGCAAGAAGATATGTAATGAAGCTCCCATTTTATGCAAATATAGGTATGAGTGTCCACACTTTAATTAACTAGTGCTCAGTGATACATCATCAGATGAAATACTCGTACTACATATGTGTTGATTATACTTTACTTATGTTTGAAAAATATACATTTTTTTGAGGGTGAAGAGGCCTGCTGTATGGGACATAATGTTTTATAGTCTTGTGAAAGTCAGCAAATGTTTTGGAGGAACATAACTCCTCCACCTTCATAGTCAGAAAATAAGGCAAGCACAAAATCAATTTGAAATGGACGGCAAGTCTTTGTTTGAAAAGTGGTCAGTCTAATTTGCACCTGAGTCACGAGCAATGCTGACTGTTGTTTTTTGTGATTTTCTCAGTCCTTCAAGGTAAATGATAGGATAGGACCTTGTTTAAGCCTCAATGACTTTCTATCAGATCATTTTGAATTCATCATGTATTCATCCTGATCTATATAGACTTGACCCTGAAAGCATAAATTACAACTCACAAATGAATTCAGTGCCCTGAAAAGTTTCACACCATTACTGTGAGGGATATGGTGGTACCACTTTTTACTCTGATTTAGTTTGAAGTTTTCAGAACCCCTGAGCATGTTTTTGAATGATGTGTAAAACTGGATTGGTTTCATTGCGGCTGTATGCATATTTGCTAAGAATGTAGATTGTTTATGTGTCTTGTGTGATTTGTAGTAGAAAATCAGTGTTTTATTATGTGGTTTATGACAAAATTAAAATGTTTTTTGTTCTTCTGAAAACATTTTGACACCAGAAAATACTACAGTTAGTTAAGTCCAGGTTGGTTCAGGTGTCCTGGAGTAGCATCAGCTTCTCTAGGTAATCAGGGAATCTACTCATAGAATGTCTGCTGCTGTTACAGCAACTTAAATGAAAATATTAATGTCTAATATAATGTGATTATATTCTTCCTTTTGTTCATATCATACTAGATTAGTAATACAATTTCATTATACTCACTATTTTACTGAACAGGAAATGTACTGAGCACTTAGAACTCCTGTATTTGAAAAGTCATTTTTGAGACTAGAGTTTCTGCATGTATTTCCAACTGTTTAGTCAAGGCCGCGCCATAGCTCAAGTGGTTAGTCGCTGGCTCCCCACCACGGCAGCCCGGCTTCAATCCCAGGTCTGGTCATGTGGGATTTGTGGTGGACAAAGCGGCGCTGGGGCAGGTTTTCTCCGAGTACTTCGGTTTCCCCTACCAATCTTCATTCCACCAATTGCTCCACAGTCACCCTCACCTATCATCTTGGGCTGGTACAATAGACCAGATGTGGCCGCAGTACAAGGGACTTAGTCCCACCCCACTAGCAATAAAAAAGACTATTCAGTCAGCTGTACACTGACAGACCTCAGCAAATTACATAGAATTGTTATAGACTCAGAATGTATTTTTCACTTTACTTTGTATTGTATTTGCTGTCTCTGAAGACCTGATGCAATTTCTTCCTTCCTCCTTCCTTTCTTTCATTTTATCTATATATGTTTATTTTTCATTTTTCAGGACAAGGAACTGAATTGAAAAATTGGATTTCATTTTTATATGTTGATGTGTCAGAGTTGCCACTTCTCACAGCAAAATGGCAGCAAGCGCCCTCACATTTTGGTGTACAGAAGTACAGACTTCAGGTGTTCAGGAGGGGAGAAGACTCAGAAATTAACTTGGAGGCTTCAGAAGTGGTGCAGGGAAATAATGAGGGCCATGAATTGAGTTTTAGTTTTGACACTTTTCCTGCTTCTGGCGACTATCATTTTGAGGTGTGCATACTCAGTGATAATTGTACTAATGGTGTGTGCCAAGTATCCAGGTCCCCAGATGTGCCTGTACGTAAGTATGATGGATGAGTTTCAGAAATTTATTTGTTCCACAGATTACATCAGTAAAATTTGGGAGTCATTAACTGGAGTTACTGAATATTTATAATTAGTTAATTGTTCACAATGAAGCATTTAATTTGTCAGTAGATTATTCATGCAGTTAATGCATGAATTTAATGCAAAAAATTTAGCAGTTAGCAAGTGTAAAGTTGAAAACTAGTCTGCTAAAAATTTTCAAAACCTGCACAAGAATAAGAGGGTAACTACAAATGAGTTCTACTTTGTTGCGTTTCCAGGTGGCTTTATAACAAGGACATTAATAGCTGCTGTTATAGGATGTGTGATTCTTATACCACTCTTCCTTTTTGTGCTATGGATGTGGAAGAGGCAGTTTAAGCCTCTGACTGGTGAGTTATGAACTTAATGTGTCCCGTGGTACACAGTATTATGTCGCTGTTTTTGTTTTCATTAATTGATAGATACGTTCATTCATTTTATTTGGCATTCATAATTGCTACAATGGTAACACTTGAACAAATCACATCATTAAATACATAATTCTTGAAATTTTTCGCCCAAATGCCTAGAGGATTAGCATTTGTCAACAATAAATAATCACTCTTGACATGGTTAACCTGTAATTAAAATATAACACACACTATCAAGCAAGATAAATAATCAAATTAGATACTATATCTATATCTTTAATTCTTTAAAAATCGGCCTGCATGATCTGTAATTTACACCTTTCATTAAGCAATGTATCCTTTTTTTGTATTTTCAATAAATGAAAATATATGCGTTAATGTTTCAGTATTTTATTATGAACTTTTAATGTGCTGAAGGCTACATTTATCACAGGCAGGCTATACAGCAGAATAGTTTTTTCATAAAGAATCACATTTTAAAGTAGTGAGAGAGGTTTCATTCTTTTTTCCTTTGTCACTCTTTGAGTTTCTTAATGCCTTTGTACAAAATTGTTTTTCCCTCTGGCAATTCAGCAAATATGTTTCTCTGCTAAATTGAACTTCAGTTGGTTGAAATCAGAAGTAGGTAGCAGAAACTGTCAAGAGATTCCAGAAGTTTCTTATTTCAGCATTATAACCAAATGTGAAAGATAAGCAGCAGTGCAGGGCGGGTAGTTTTAAGCAAAGCGATAGGTTTGATATCCGTGTGGTTTTCAGTGCTGGGTATTCTGTGCAATTGTTGGATTGCTGTTTACTTCATTTTATTTACTGTAATGAAGTTTACTGTTATAAAATCAGCATCATTTGTATGCAGTTAACATACTCGTAATTACTTCTGCTGTTGAACAGGAGCTCCAAAACTTGCATTTTTATGTGTGTTGACCTGTTGCATGTTTAACCGTTCTCCCTTTAGGCTTCTAGCCCACAAGTTGGTTGCCACCTTTTTTTACTGTCCGTCTTGTTCGCCTTACGTTCGGCGCCACTTTGACTGCCCTACCTGGTGTTGCCGCTGCTGAAGTTGTTAGGTCGTGGCTGGTTCCGGCTTGACCAGGCTCCACCGCTTCCTCCTCCCGTTGAGATTACAGGGGTTGGAATTTCAGGATGGGACCTGATGTAATGGGCGCCAGCAAACAGCTAAGTGCGGTTTGCGATTCATTATAAAGGGGGGGAAGGCATGAGTGGGTGGAAGCTGGTGATGGGTTTGACTAGCTCATGGCGATGAGTCTCTCCTCAGGTCGGCTACGGGTCAGGCTCGTACAAGTGAGGGTGAAGCACTTCTAACCAACACAATGCACTGTACCACTAGAACATTTATTGTTTTCTTACAGTCGCTTGGCGGTATAAATCAACACAATCAGACTTAGTTTCGGCTTTCAAGCAGCCGGTGTTGCACTTGCTCAAATTACCCGATCATGCCGACTTACCATCGTCCGCTTATGGATTAAGCTAGATCTCTTTTAAGTTATGGCCAAATTTTGCACTTCTAAGAATTATTTAACTTAACGAGCCAGTATAATCGTGGGGTTTGCCTCCGCCAAGTTCGAAAGTTTGTAGCAGACTCAGATCTTAAACTGGACTCTCTGCCGAGCCAGAGGTCCTAACTGCGTTGTATCTGCCTATTCTCCTCTCCTGCTAATTTCCCTGATAGGCTGTTTCAAATAAGGGGAGTTGGCTTAATTTTTGGTTCTGGCCAATGACCGATTGTTTTAGAGGGAGTTTCAGCCTAAAATACCAAACGGCGAACTTGACAGCGATGCAACTTATGAGGGGTTGCTAATGATCTCCTGGCACTCCCACTTTTGACTTACGGCTGGTAGGGACTGTCACTTCTCGAATACTCAAAGTGGCTTGCCGCTGTAAGTCACCTTCTCAATTTCTAAAGAAACTCAGTGGGGTTCCTTGAAGTATAATTTCTGCCCCTTTCGAAAACAGCACCAGATGCTTGGACACAAGGACTAGCAGATGTCCTTGTCCGCGCAAGTTCGGTCTATCTGCTCATCGCCTACTGCTTGTTCTGTGTGTCTTAAACCTATGTTTCTTCGTAATTCTTGTTGTCTACTTGATAAGCTACTGAAATAAAAAGAGGGGGGGGGGAAGGATTTCAGTGGTGTGGTTACACATGACCTCATCAAATACACCTTTTATAGTGCCATCATACTGAAATTGTAATAGTATAAGCACACAGCAACACTGAAAATGAATTTTTGCATCTGTTTGTTTTTGGTCATTACAAAGATTTGTTAATTCCTTGAATAATTTTGTTTTTTTTTTCTTTTTCTTCCCAGGAGATGTTAAATTACCAGTAGTGTTAATTATTTATAGTCCATCTCAAGCATCTCACATTAAGTCTGTTGTGGCATTAACAGAATATTTAAGAAACCACTGCTTTGTTGAAGCATTGTTGGATCAACTGGATATTCCAGATTCTGAAACAAAGGTATGAAGTGAAAAATGCATGGCCTTAAATATGCTCATAGAGTGATTTAGCACATAACATGATGTTTCATGTACTTTTATGAATGTTGTTGAGGAATGCAGCTGGTCACAGTAGGTGTAAGGCAGGAACTGTCTTCGCTTGCTTGGATGCTGAGATTGTGGGTTCGAATCCCACCTAAGGTAGGAATGTTTGGTGTGTGTATGCATTTATTCTGTGTTTGTGATGTTCTGTGTTTAGGTAGAGGCCTTATGACAAGGTGTCACTTGTCCAAGGAGTCCTACCATTTGTGAAAAATGATTACAGAACTGAATAAGGCCAGGGCCTTGAATGGGCTGGAAGAGACATTGAAAAAAAAAAGGTTGAGAAATACAATGCATGTAGCTGACATATATGTGTGTGTGTGTGTGGACGCATGTGCTCACATGTATACACATGCAGACTGGTATTCAGAATTTTGAACTTCATAAAATATCCTGATATATTGGGTTTTCGGACTTTATCCATCGTCCTGGTTTTTAAGACAACTAATAAAAACACAACGTTTCGGAAACTGGATCTGTTTCCGTCCTCAGGTGATTGGATCAGGTCCAGTGATTGAGGCTAGCTCTTTCTAGCGGACCCAACAGAATAGGTGTTTTCCTTCACCTGAGGACGGAAACAGATCCAGTTTCCGAAACGTTGTGTTTTTATTAGTTGTCTTAAAAACCAGGACGATGGATAAAGTCCGAAAACCCAATATATCAGTGTGTTATACACCATCGTCAGAATCCTATAGTAACTACTTATTCATAAAATATTGTTTGTTCCTCTAGCTTCCTACATGAACATGTGGTTACAGATCTTGTTTCAAAAGTCAATTTTTTGAAATATATATGAATACATACAAGAGAAAGAGACCATAAAATGTTGATAGAAGGGTAACATAAAGTAAAGACCTTAAACTTAACATAAAGTATTTAAACAAATCTGAAGAGATGAATGCTTTTGGTTATATTCTTCTTATAGAATTGCAAGTCATGTAATATTAACAGCACAATGGACATTTTTCAGTTATTATGGAGACTGTGAAAGTTATGTGCTTTTCTGTTTAGGATCCATTCATGTGGTGTAATGAAGCGTTTTCCAGAGCTGATTTTGTAATGGTTGTTTCTTCTCCACCGAAATGTTGCAGCCAGGAAGGGATATTCAGGAATGTAGATGTCGTTGCTCTGCGTTTCTTTAAGGAGCAGTTCTCTAAACGTAACTACAGACCAGAGTTCTTTTCTGTCTTGATGCCATATTGTACTGAAAAAGATATTCCTGAGGAGGCAAAGAATCTTCGAATGTTCAAACTAACCAAAGACTTGGATAGAATGCTGTGGTATATTCATAATGGAGGTAGGTTTCCTACTGTTTTGGATTCTGCAAGGACTTTGCTTGGACCTAAACTTAGAGGGGGTAAGTCTGATTTGAACAATAGCGGTAATATTTTCCTGGCAGCTATGAAGGAAGCGGAGTATGATTTAGTCAGAGGTTGTAATTGCAAGAACCAAAATGTTAGGGAGAATGATGAACATGATACTGAGATTACAAGTTGTTTGACAAAACTTAGAACACCAGGTGAAGAAGGGAACAAGTATGAAAGAAACTTACATAAGAATGCCTCCACAGAAGATTTAGTGGTGAGTCCTGAACCGCTTAATGTGGAATTTCCATTTTTGTTAGATGATTTAGACTTGACAGGTAATGTAGAGATGAATGTGGAGCCCATGAAGAAGAACAGTGAAGCTGTTCATTTGGGATTTGATCTGAATATTATGAAGTTGTAGAACAGTAATCAGTCCTGCATTTTGGTGGACATTTACAAATCTTCTTATAATCTCTCGACATTCGTGATGGATGTTCTTAGTAAGTAAATGTTTCCTGCAGATTAAACCTAGAACTGAATTGCCTTGAGCACTATTTAATACAGTAATTACCAGAATCCATTGTATTTGATGGAAGCACTGCTATCATGTTACTGTTGAGGCTTCTGAATCCAAAATATGCCCTTTTATTTCAAGCATGTATCCGAATATCATGCAGCATAGTTTGGTAAACAAAAACAAACACAGTGGCTTTAGTCCACAAGTGAACATACTGACTGAACGAATGCTGCTTGTCGGTGAAGTTAGTGCCGACTTTAGCAGATAAAGGTTGTCCCATGGTCAGCACAACGAATCCCCGTAGCTGTTAATTTCGGTTTTCTAGACTGGTGCCTCTACTTTTCCATTCAAGTAGCTCCTCAATTATCCTCACGAGACTGAGTGGACCCTGTTCCAGACCCACTACTTCTGAGAAAATCTGGTAGCGCCAGGAATCAAATCTGGGACCTCTGGGTCTGTAGCCAAGAGCTCTGACCACTAGACCACAGAGGCGGTCCATAGTTTGGTACTTAATAGAAAAATCCATAAAATCTCTTGGAAGATTACAGAAACCTTGGTAATTGGTGGTGTTTTGATATTTTTTTATCAACATTACTAAATGGCAAGATGGGCTGTTATATTCATTCAGAAATTTTCAGTAGAAGTTGTGTTTCATCTTCATGAAAGTACAGAAAGTATAATACATGAAATTAGAATCGTAATATTGTGTGGAATGTATACAACATGTTCACATTCAACTAAAATTTTTAACAAATCTCATCTTTCAGCATGTCTTCTTTTGAATATATGTGGGTATTATAAAATGGATTAATAAATTTTAATTGAAGGCATTCTGGTCTGTCACACTATTTGACATTAAATAACATCATTGAGTGCAACCAGTTTGATTTAATTACACAGAAAATTTAATGTGTTTCGGTCTTAAAGAGACCATTGTTAGAAGGTGCTCAACAGGTGAGGAAGTGCTTTATGGTTATAAAGGCCAGTTGTTCACCAATTACACCCTGTGGAGTTAATTATATACAAATTCAGCAAAAATGAAAGTTATTCAGCTTACAGTTGTTAATGTGATAAAATGTTTTGAAGTTTAGAAGCTGTGTATGGAGTCGCCTGTTAATCCTCCGATTAGTTATTAGAATATCCTTTGTCTTTATATAGTGTATGTAGTGACCTGTTGTGGCTTGTATGGTGTGTTGTGTCCAATTTAACTTGTCATTGTTGTACTGTAGATTTTGTCATGTTAACTTGATTTGTTGAATGTGCACACAACAGCAGCAGTGAGTCAGGGATCTTCAATCAGTTCAGGTAAGATTTTCTTGTATTCTGAATACAGAAATACAAAAGAATGATTGTAGCAATAATGAATTAAACTAAAGGAACAAAAAGTGCAGTATGTAGAAAAACGCATACATTAAGAAGAATGATAAAATTTTTCAAATTGATATGAGTAACAGGTGTTTCAAATATCAAATTCATGGATACTGAAGAGTCCACTGTATTCACGTCCTGTAATGCAGCAAAGGTTAAGGTGGCATTCTACCTTGGCACATATAAGGATTTCTGGTGTTACGATTTCAGTAGCTGATGTAATCTCATGTGTTAATGTTTCAACATGTCCACTGACTCCAGTAACTGAACTTTTTATATTTACCCTCAGAAAAAATTAAAGGAGCGTTATGTCTGGCGACCTAGGAGGCCATGAAGTAGGGCCTTTCCACATCCATTAAGCGGGAAACTTACTGAAAGGTTGTTAAAAGGGAGCAGTTTACGATCTTGTTGAAAGATTTCAGCTTCTTCTTCTTCCAGTCATGGAAAAATGGAAATTTTCGCCATGTACAAGTAACTGGCTCCTGTTATGGTAGCCTCAGAAAAAATGAAAGATGAAGAATGCCATCACCACTGTGAAAACCTCAAATCTTACAAAATGAAAAATGTTTGTGCTCTGACAGGATGGTGTCTTGTTATCTGCTCTGTTATTGTATCATAAGAGATGAACATATGAAAGTTTACTAATGGAAATTCTAAGTGTTTGTTGTCGTCATTTTTGTTTCTGTTCCATATAGCTGTGTAATGTGGTTGCAGGCATGCATGTTTACAGTGTATTCACAATAATACATTTAACGCTGAACTTAATGCCATACGCATGTTATTACTGCAGACTGTATATTTTATAATCTTATATTTTAATTTGAGTTATCATATATATTTTATAAACCTCTACTGTAGATTGGAGTTATTGTTTATATTTTATAAACCTGTACTGTAGATTGGAGTTATCATTTATATTTTATACACTTATACTGTAGATTTAAATAAAAATCCTCTTCTGTCCCCAAAGTCATCCAGCATCTTCTTACGTCTTCTTCCGCATCTTCTGGTCACTTGTATCCGCCCATCTCGCATACATGGTATTTCTGTTTTTGGAAAGAGACTATCCAGGAAAAGTGATAAGGTGGTAGTTTTTCCATTTGCTTTCCACATCGCAGTACGACAGCCGTTCAAACCACTTTGGTCACGCCTGTTGCTATACGAACTTGAATCATCTCGAGCATCATTTGCTCTGTGCTTCAAGTCGCTGCTGATGACGCAGCTTCCGGCATCAGTTTTTGGTTTTTGGTGTCTCTCTTTGTCTGATGCCTACCCTTTGACCTGTCCAGCAAGGGAGGCCCTGCCAGTAGCTATGCTACCGCTGGTATAGCTCTCAAGGTCCATGGCCCTGTGGACCTGTTGTCTGACAGATTACTGATGAATGAATACTGTAGATTGAAGTTCTCAGCAGTGTGTGTAAAACGTGAGCTTTCAGTGTTACACAGGTTGAGGTGGCAGTTGTTAGGTTTATTGTATGTGTGGGGTTGCATGTGTTACAGTGGTGTGAAGATGAATAATTCAGATTAGCTTTCAGTCAGTCAAATGAAAATTTACATCTAATTTCTTTATGCATTTTTTATTAATCTGCATATTAACAACTTCTTCATAAAGAATTGTTATGCTTTGAATTCAGTCATATTAATTTTGTACTGTGTATGTTGAATATGTGCAGCTCATGTGGTTTCCTTATGTGAATGGCACCTTCTTTCTGTATGTTTACGAACATCCTTAACCACACGAATCTTTTGTTCCTATCCTCCTCTCTACTTCCATCTTGGCTTGGCTGGCTTCATAAATAAATACCGTGTTCAAAAATACTAATGCAGGCTGAAGTATCAGTTGTTAAATATACATATAATTTTTATTAACATAGTAGTGTAAGTAGGCAATAATATTTTTATGTGTAAATTTAATTTATAATATTTCAGTGAAGGTAAGAAGTAAGTTCTCCCTGTGCTTAATTAATTAAGCACTATGCCACAATTACATATGGGGGAGTAGATATATAGACCCATCTTTTCCTGACCTCAGCATTAGTTATGCCACAAAGACACGTGGGGTAGTGGATGTATAAACCCATGTTTTCTAGACCTCTGCATTGGTTGGAGGCAAGTGTCAGCTTCACACCCCAACTACTTTACCCCCCCCCCAGGGGATAGAGCCCCTGGTACCAATTGGATAGGAGGTGAGTTGGGTCCCAGAGCTGGTCTGTGACATGGATTAGTGAAAGTTCTTGACCCTACTGGGACTCAAGCTCCAATCCTATGGTTGTGCAGCATGTAGCCAGTCACTATACCGGCTGTGGTATCCTGGCTCTTATAATATTTCAATATGTCATTTATTTTATGAACATGTATTTACTGGTGTAAGTACACGTTGCTGTGCAGTGATGTTTTGTGAAATATATTAATACACTGAACCCTCAATACTAACTGCCTATAAATGTACAGGAGTCCTGGTATGTTTCAAAACAAATTATGTACCTTGTAAAAACTGTACTTACTTACTTACTTGTGGAGCTGAGCCCTTCTGGAGGAGCTGCCAATTCTGCAGCTACTCAAGAATTTCCCAGCCTTTTATGGAACCCGAAGGTTCATTACCGTGTTCACAAGAGCCCTCCACTGGTTGTAAAAACTATGGCTGTAAAAATATATTTTGTCTCGTTTAGTGCTGTAAACAAAATTAAGTAAGTAAGTAAGTAAAGTAAAGATATCCCTGTAACATGCCGTGGAGGCCCATATGGTTGTGAGATGTTGAGGTTCCCACATTTTCTAGACAGTCGGCTTATTGATGGCGGCAAGGTTGTCAGCCTTACACACCGGCCGCCCTTAACCCCCAAGAATATTCCTGGTACTCATTTCTGTTAGAGGCTGAGTTGACCCCAGGACCATAGTGCAGCTGGAAGGATTAGGTCAATTGAAAAACAATCCAACGACCTAATTGGGACATGAACCAGCACCCTTCTGGTTTGTAGCATAGTGCCTCAACCAGCTATGCTACCATGTGTCCCCTTTTAATGCTGTAAATACGTTAAGTAACTGAAGGGACATGGTGTCGCAAATATTTTGAGAGCTTTGGTAAAGTTACTGCTATAGCAATATGCTTAATGGTGTAATTGCATTGATGTAGTACGGAGTATTTTATTAGAGTTCTGGGAAGTAACAAGGAAACCATGTAAACTATAACACCATAGTTCTTATGATCTGTGTTGGTATTTTACCTCTAGGTGTATTAATATTTGTGAGACTTTAGATCAGAGTACCAGTCACTAGTTTTGTATATCATGTGATATATGACTTAAAAGTTTTAATGGTATGTTGATGTTCATTTAGTTTAATGAAATGTAATTTAAAAGCCTAACTAGTTCCAGCTTAGCTGGTCAAAAAATTCCTTGGCCTAAATGACATCCTGAGTCATTTGGGTCCGGTCCTCCTTTCATAACCTTGTACCTAATTTTGGATATTCTTCTACATTTGTGTCATCAAAGTGGACACTTTGTTAAAATTTTATAACTAATAATTTGTAACATTTATTTCAGTGCCCTCATGCATCTCACCCATCTTGCCTTTTTCAGCCTAAAGTGTTTGATAAAGAGTATAAATTGTGATGCTTATTATATAATGTTCTCACTCCTTCCTGTCCCCTAGACCTGAACATTTTCCCTGGTATTTTGTTTTCAGTCACCCAGTTCTGTTTAGAGAATAAGTTTCGCACTTAGTGAAGGCAACGTGCAATATTATGGTTTTTGATAGTGTAAGATACAAGATTCTGATAAAAATAGTAG